ATCACCATAAGCTGTTTACTTCCCCCCTCCAGGGCTTGTTAAAAAATCAGTTTATAGAAGCAGGAGGAAGACAGCGCCCCGGGTTCCAAGGGGCAAGGCGTTTGGGTCAAAATCAAGTTCTCGCTCCTGAGCTGAGCTCTCCTCCCCTTTTGGCTCATCACCCCAACCCCAACCCCAACCCCAACCAGAGCCACAGCCCTAACCCTAAAACGTCACAAGCAAACGCTCCCGGGGCGGCTCCCGTGTGCCCATTGCATTATGACGACACACAGAATTCAAACCAAAACATGGGGACTGCAAAACCATGAACAGGTGGTGCATGACAACCAAGTGTCCCTTCAATGAACCACGTCAGAGGGGCTGGCCCCTCCCAGCCGCACCTCACAGTGCCCGGGGGCTGTTCCAGCCACTGGCCTGGGAGGCAGACGCTATCAGCGGCGTCACAAGCAAAGAGGCCGGAGGCTGAGGGGCAAAGCGTTGAAAAGCAGCCTTTCCCACTTAAGAATTAAATGCAAAATTCTACTTGTAATTAGTGGCTTCTTTTTAATTAACTGGGCAATTTAGCCCGGGAATGCATCACTTGCATTTTAAACTATTGTTATTTCTCACAGGAGAAACTTACAGGAATGCTTGGTGGCCCGGGCCCTCAGCACCACCCCATCCTCACCACAGACCCTCTCGCCTCCTCCAGAAAAAGAAGTGGACTCGCCCTTTACCTCTCTCTCTCTCTGGAAGCTCCAGAGTGACCGATTTAATTGCGCGAACAATGCCAACATTTTCAAACTCTCTACCTTTGATCAATGAGCGAAACAAAGGGTAAATGTGAATCTAAGTCGAGAACTAGAAGCAACCCCTCCTGATCTCTGAGCCAATTTGTAAAAGGAAATAAACTGTTTGGCCCAGTCTCGCTGGCAGATAAGCAACTCAGGGAATCTCCCTCGCGCAGAAGTGCAAGGTCACGGCGTGACTGACGTGGCTAATGGCCTCAGACCCAATTAGACGATGGGAACTGGGGCTCCAGTGTTTGTTTCTTCAACAGTGACCTAAACACCCGACATTTATCATCTTTTCTGGCTGGGGTGGGAAATGCGTCGGCTGCGAGTTGCGGGTTTCTAAAAAGAAGACATTCCTATTGTGACATAGCCTTACAAATGTTTAAAAAGCAACGGAACAGCCGCTGCTGGCAGTTACCCACAGCAAACATGTGTTCGTGACCACGCACTCTGCCGTGCGCTCGGAGGCCCGCCGCACAATGCCCGGCGCCCCCTGGCCGTGGGCGTTTTCTGGCTGCAAGGCCCCAGTTCCCGGAGGACCAGGACACGGAATGGACAGGGCCAGTGTGGCAGGTAACTTCTAGGAAGGTCCCCAGGATGCCCACTCCCTGGGATTCACACCTTGAACTCTCCTTCTCTTGAGCGTGGCCTGAACCTCGTCGCTTGCTTCTAGCCGGCAGAACATGGCCACAGTGATGGGCTGTCCCTCTCGTGATCAGGTTACGAAGGATGGAGACTTCGGCCTTCCTCCCCGGCTGGCTTTGGGGAAGCACGCAGACATGCTGGCGAGGCCCACGGACCAGGCAGTGAGGACAGCCTCTAGTGCAGAGCCAGCAAAGAACGGAGGCCCCCGTTATACCACCCTTGAGGAGCTGAGTTCTGCCAACTGCCACGTGAGCAGGAAGCTGATCCTTCCCCCTTGCAGCTCTCGGGTGAGCCTGCGCCCTGGTGACGCCTTGCTGGCAGCCGCAGGAGAGACGAGACGTTGAAATGGAGGGCCCGGGAGAGCTGGGCCAGGCTGTGACCCTCAGACACTCTTGTCCGAAGCTGCTATGTTTCTGGGTGGTTTGTTACGCAGCGGCAGATGACTACCGCAGCAGGCAGCCCACAGGGCCAGCTCCCCGACGCTGGCTGCCCCCACGCGTCCTCCCGTCTCCTCTGCACTGGGACATGTCCTCTGACAGCGTCAATGCCTTCCGCTCTTATCATGCGCCAGCTCCCGGAGGGCAGGCGCCGGGACGCCTTCATTCTTCACCGATGAGTGTGTGCCTAGCACCAAGCACAGCGCCCGCTGTGTGATCGGGGCTCAATAAACATTTTAACTGATGAAGCATTTCTATTAAGCCTAAGACCAGAAAGCAAGAAACCTTAACGTCCAGTCCCCAGTATAGAGTATTTGTCCTTTAAAAAGATAAAGGAGAGGAGAACGAGACGTGTACTCGGAATGGCCATCTGGTGGCCCTGGAGCCCCCTCAAGGGGGTGGCCTTGGGCTGGGGCGGGAGAGCGGGCTGGGCAGGCGCTGCTCTGGCTCCGCCGCCTGACCCTGGGCAGCGGGCCGCCCCGCCCTGTGCAAAGGCCGCCCATCCGGCAGGTCCGCAGAGGCAAATCAGAACTGCAGGGAGACAGGGGCACCTGGGCAAGCTGGCTCCACTCTCCAGAACAGGGCAGGCAGGCTTCCCCTTTGTCCTCTCCGTTCTCCCTGCACAGGATGCTTCTTCCCCCGGGCCGCGTCCCCCCTTTGTTTAATTGGCAAACTCTTACTCATCCTTCAACACCCAGCCTGGCCTCAGCTCCTCCAGCACAGCCTTTTGGGACCTCCCTCCCACCCGGAACTCATTCTCCCTCTGAGTCTGCGGAATCCACAGGCCACCAGCACCCCAGCCACATCTGTGACCCCGCCCAGCCATGGGCTCCCACTTCCCCGGGCCCAGAACGGGGCTGCGCCCACTGAAGCAAGTGCAGTCACAGGCCGGTGCCCCGTCCCTGTGCCCAGGGAAGGACAAAAGGCCACAGTTTTCACCTGACCTTCTGAGACTGAGGCCCTGGGTGACCTTCCTCAGAATGAGGAATGGGCAGATGTGGCAGGAAGACGTTCCGTGGACAGGAAACACACCCCCAGGAGAACGTTCGACCTTGTGAACTGCAGCTGGGGGTGGCCTGGGGGAGGGGCAGCGACGCTGGGAAGACACCGTCATGGGCAGCAGGGGCCAGTGAGTCACCAGGCCGCTCCTTCCCAGGCCGACTGTTCTGCATCGTGTGTACCCGAGGGCTCCCCTGGTTTGCATCCTCTGTTGTCAACCAAGGGGGGCAGCGCCCTCCACGAGCACAGGGCCAAGCTCCTGCCTCCAAAGCGCGGGCACTGGCCAGTAGACACGGGAACTGCTCGGGGGTCAGGGCTGCCCCGGAGCCAGAGGGGACGGGTCCCTGAGGCTGACGGACAGACAGACAGACAGACTCCAGGGGCAGCGGGAAAGTGGCCATGGCAGGTGGGCATGCCGTGTGGTGTGAGGCTGCGCGGCCGGGAGGGAGGGGCTCCGTCCAGCTCTCCTCTGACTGGACCCCACTGGCAGCAGAGCCGTTCTGAGGGGTCGGCAAGAGGGGCAGAATCGGGGCAGGGTGTCCAGGGCGGGGCTTAAGGCATGTCCCTCGGAGGGCAACAATGCAAAATGTAAGGAATGTGAGGTAAGACTATACTCACACACGAGACACTCGCTCTGCCCAGGTGAGCAGTCTGGAGGAAAATCTAGCACATACGAGTTAACAGTCATCTAGGTGGGAGAGTAGAGGTGTTTTTAAAGACAGTTTCCAATGCATTTTCTAAACTTTCCATCGTGAACACCTTATTGTTGCCACTGGCAAGGACGTGGGACCAGGAATGTGTGCTGCCCTGGGAAGGGGTCAGGGCTGTGTTGGTGTCCGAGGGCGAGTCACTGCCCACTGGCGGCTTACAAGAGGGACTGAATCTCCCAGGGTCCTGAAAGCCAAGGGCCTGAAACTAGACCTCTGTGGGCGGGCTCCCAGCCTCAGCCTGAGTCTGTGCCACGCCCTTCCCCCAGCCCCTGGCAGCTGCTGGCAGTCCCCGGCGGTCCTTGGCTTGTGGCTGCATCACCGCAGTCTGGTGTCATCATCACACGGCCTTCTTTCCTGTGTGTTTCTGTGTCCCCTCTTCTTCTTAAGGGCACCAGTCCCTGGATCTGGGGCCCACGCTAACCCGATGGGACCTCATCTCAACCAAGTCCATCTGCAAAGACCCTACTCCCAAACAAGGCCACACTCACACACCCGGGGACGGGTGCCTAGAAGTCCAATATGTCTTTTGGGAAGGCACAAGTCAACCTAGGACAACAGATAATCAGGAAAATAAAGACACAGACGGCGTGGCCATAGCCGTCAATACCTGGCAGGGGACCCATTTCAGAATGATTAGATGTGGTCTGGGGGCTCTGTGGGGAAGAAACAGGTCCCAGGCATGGACCCTCCCAAAGACACTCAGTCACAAAACAGGCCGAGTGCCCCCACAGAACTGTCCTGAGCTGGGCCGGCCATCCTGGGCGGGGACCCGGAGCCCTCTTGCCTCGTGTGCGCTGGTGTCGGTCAGGCAACATCGGACGACATAACTTGAAGGTCTGGGCAGCCCTGAGAGTCTGTTGTCCCCACAGCCATCACCCTGATTTAAGCATTGCCCGGCGCTAGCCCGGCCACTCCCACACTGTCTGTTTGACATCACGCCCACTGGGCCTCGTCCACACTGGGCCGCCCCGCTCTCTACGACACAGCTGCTCTAGCCATCATTTTTCTTCCTTTTGGTCTCTCAAGGAAAGCTGTCGCCTGCCCACTCAGAGCTCACAGGACAGAGGCTTCGATCAGGCCGGGAGACAAGGAGTTAAACCCTGCAGATTCCAAGGGTGGTCCTCACTTCTTGACAGCTCAAGGGGCAGCCCCCTGTCTACAGCTCCAGCCAGAGGCTAAAGACCCAGACCAGGGTCCCAGCCAGGAAAGCAATCCACAATTTGTTTAGACCCAGAGAAGATTGCCCCAGAGAATAATATTTACATAAGAAATAGCACTAACATTGCAAGTTAAGCTTGTTTACTTTAAAAAAAAAAAAAAAAAAGAGGCACACTCTTGTTTGTGATGTGAAGGGAGACTGTTCTTTGAAAACTGCCTCTTCTTCCTCCCCCTCACCCCTCCCAAAAAATAAACAAAAAAAATTCTAAACCGCTCACCTCTCCACAGGGTCCCTGAGCATGACGATCAGCTTTGCGTCCGGCTGAAAGGCGTGGATGAAGTCCTGCGTCAGGAAGGGGGGCTCGCCATCCGTGCTGTTGTCATAGAAGAAGGTCCATGCGTTGTTATCCCACATGGTGGAGGCGCTGGCCTCTCCTGGAAACAGAAGACACTGCCAGTGAGCAGTGCTGAGCGCTGGGCTCGCACAGGGCAGCCTGTGTTAGGGGCTGCCCTGGCTCGGAGGCCTTCCCCTTACGCAGTCGCAAGAGTGCGAGCTGGTCCGCTAGGCTGGCAGACTGGTCCCCGGGAAGCAGAGGCTGAGACCCACCCTCTGCCACAGCGGTAGCTTCCCCCCGCCTGCCCTCCAACCCCCGGCAAGGACCTCAGTCTGGAAATCCAGGTAATCCGGACAACACTGAGCATGCCTCCCCCAGCTCCTCTCCCCAGGACGTGCCAAAAAAAACCCCACTAGCACCTCCCAATTTCATGATATTTAACTTTGCTCACAGTGCATAGCTCTGTAGCATTTTAAGGGCCTGCTGAGAATATGCTGGATGGTTTTCGTCAAAAAGCATCAGAGATGAAGAGGCAGTTGGGGAAGCTGATGCTCATTAGGAAACTGGATGCAATCTGGGTCAGTCTGGCCTTGAAATCACACAGGTGAGCTCCCAGAAACAAACGAGTGGGAGTCTTGGGGTGGGGGTGGGGTGCAGAGTGTTCCTCCCAGGACCTCAGTCTCAGGCTCTGTGTCCGGCATGCCCGCCACCCCCCACCCCCGCGCCCCCCGACAGCCGCATCCACCTGGTCCTGCCTTAGGGGGCAGAGGATGGTGCTCAGGCCATCTACTCGCTCTGAGAGACGGCCGACAACGTTAAATATTCGATGACAGGGTGAAGCCACAGACATTCCCTCCCAGCATTCCCTCTCAGAACCCTGAACCAATTCCCTGACTTTGTCTTTTTTTAGGATGATCTTCAGTCTTAGAAAGAAAGGCGAATCAATCGATCAATCATCGACTGCGTTTCCGTTTTACGTGGGCCGCCATGATACAGCTCAAAGCTACTTGTGCAGGGCAAGCCCGAGCCAGGGGGCTCGGTCTCGCTGACCGCGGCGAGCGCAGCACGATAGATACGCAGCGCAGAGCAGAGCCCACCGGTTCTTTTGGATGTGCAGTCACATCCAGGGAAGAATTTCTCTTCTGGTCTTTCTATTTTTTTTCCAAAAGATAATGCCAAAGAATACAGAAAAGTAGAATTTTCAATGTGAAAATTCTACTCACAGTGAATAAGGAACCATTAGGACAAGGCAAGTATCTAAAACTGAACTGGCACAAATTCTGTCACATCTCATCAATAAACTGGTTCTACAACCAGAAAAGCATTTGTCTATCCACCTGTCCATCCCTCCATCCAAAGCATTCATTTGATGTCTAATATATGTCTGGCACTGCACTTGGCATTAGGGATCGATCAGGGAAACAAGACAGATAACCCCATCCTCTCCCAAACCATACAGTCTGGACAAAGACCAGCCATTCCATAAACAGTCAGGGAGTCCCTTGTGCGCTTTGACGGGGCAGCACAGTGGCCACGAGAGCAGAGGCAGCCACCTCTCAATGTGTCCGGAGCCCGAGCTCAGAGAACCCAGCCACTGGAGCCCTTCGAGAGTCCAGCCACTAGCCCAGGGCACTGAGGAAAGGCCTGTCTGCCTGGCCTTGTGGGCCAAGATAAAGGAAGGCCCTACGGTCGTGCCAAGGATCTGTCCGGAGGAAGCTGGGGCTGAATCGCATTCAAGATGGGGGAGGAGCCCAGAACTGATCTGGTCCAACAGGCCCATTTTATAGACATGCAGACTGAGGTCGGGACCGCGCCAAGGGATTGGGCATGTGGCACAGGCAGGGCTGGACGCCGGCTCTCCCTCTGCCTCTCCACGCCCATAAGGCTCACCACATTCCGCTTTGGGTAAATACCAGAGCAGCGCACTTGCTCTTTGTTCTTCCTTTTAAAATCTAGACGTCCTTAAAATCTGGAAACCAACCTAAGGGTTTCCTTTTTCGTTTATTATCTCAGTCTCCATTCCCTGGTCCTAGGATGCATATTTTTAGCTCTTTCATAAGAAAATGAGATTTTCCCAGAGGCATTTGGGGTGGACGTCACAGTCAAATATCAATAAGGCTATGGCTTGGAGTGTAGGGAACCCCAGGCTGTAAAATCAAGACTAGTAGCCAATTTACATGTGTGGGGGGAGGGTGGAGAGAAGAATGATCTCATATGGCTCCCAGGATGTAGTTTTGAGCTAAAACTAAAAAAAAAAAAAAAAAAACCCAGAGCTTAGGCACCTTGGACAAGAGTCATGAGAAAAGAGTGCTCTTTCAAAGGATTGATGCCAGCTCCTCCTGGTTGCTAATGGAGTCACTGAATTTGGAGAATCAAAATGTAACAGATTCAGGAAAATTTTAAAGCTTGGTTACCTGCCAATTTAAGCAAACCATGTGATTAGATTTCCCTCATTCAGGAGACAGACGGGGACAAGTGTCTTCTCCTGAGTGGAACCCAATACAAAGGGCAAACAGATACGTTTTTAACAAGACATTCTTGTAAATTAAAGAAATAATTACTCATCAAACCACCACATTTTGGACGTCTAAAGGCATTCGGCGGACCAGGGCTGGGCTTTCTCAACAGCAATTAGTCAGCAAGGACGCGTTGGGGCTGAGCGTCTCAGGAGAGGCCGCCTCGGACTCCACCGGCGCCGGCAGCCAGGGATTACAAAACCACGCCAGTCCGTCCATTGGCTTATGATTCCCCATCCAAACTTAGATTGGTTTATCATCTAAAGAAGCATATGTGCCTACCTAAAATAAAAACAAACAAGTGGCCACTTAAAAAAAGAAAAAAAGCCCTTCCAGGTGCGCTTGCGTCTCCGTGGAACGAGTAAGTCAGCTAACATTTCTGCCTCACAGAAACCGTGCAAGTGATGTGAACATGTTACATAAGGGTAAGGGTGCCGGCCAGGTGGGGAGAGCATGCTCAGCAGGTGTCATGCACACGTCCCGCAGGCGGCGCAAAGCTGGGCCTGGGCCAGGCGGGGAACGGGGCCCCGCGGGAGCTCCGCGGAGCCGTACCGATCATGATTCTGCTGGTCTTGCTGTGCTCCTCGGCGGAGCCGGCCTGCAGTCCTTGGTGGATCTGGTGTGCGGCCAGGTCGAAGAGGTCCAGGTAGTCCTCCACGGGGTAGCGGTCCCTCAGCCCATCTCTCAGGCGCACAATTCCTACAAGAACGAAGAAGAGGGGGTTACTGAGGACAAAGCTGCCCCTGCTAGGCCGGTGCCTCCCAGGGAGGGGCCGGAAGGGACCCGAGGGCTCGCTGCGCCAGCCACGGCTCCGCCCAGTAAGCTGCAGGAGGGGCAGCAGGTAGACAGGCATCGGCAACTGGCTGCCCGCTTTTAACCCATTAGTTTCAAGGGGTGAGAGGCACCACCATTAAGTTGAACAGTGGCCACTAAAAGGATGTCACAGCTGTTCAAGAATGATAAACGTGTCTGCTCGGAGGGCCAGAGAATTTGGGGCTGGTCAACGTGAGCACAGGGTAAGGCCATGCAGCACCTGGATGGCAGTGGTCTCCAGGACGCACACAGCGCACCAGCTGGAAAAGGACACTTGTATCTGAGGCTCTTTCTCTGGGCCCAGTGATTCACAACCGGGGTGCTGCAGCCACCGGGCTGCCACAAGAATTTTTAAAACATGCAATAGCTGACTGTTTAGTCAGGGGTACTGACCTCTCTTCTCTTAGATTGTCAAATTAAAAAATGACAATAGCTGCCCTGGCTGGTGTGCCTCACTGGATTGAGCACTGGACTGCAAACCGAAGGGTCACTGGTTCGATTCCCAGTCAGGGCACATGTCTGGGTTGCAGGCCAGGTCCCCAGTAGGGGGCGCACAAGAGGCCACCACACATTGATGTTTCTCTCCCTCTCTCCCTCCCTTTCCCTCTCTCTATAAATAAATAAAATCTTAAAAAAAAAAAAAAAAAAGACAACAGCCAACATAACAGTAGCCGTCCAGTGTGAATGAATCCAAGTTATACCTATTTTTTTGTCAGATAAACAAAATATATATATATTTTGGTGTGCCACAGAATTTTATCAGTTAGTTTATGGGTGCGATGAGATGACACAGGTTGAAAATTGCTATCCTGGTCCACGACACGGAGTAGCCTGTCTGTTCAAACAGTAAGAAGTACCGATGTCCCTGGACGGAACTTGGGTTGAACTTAGGAGTTATTCTGGATCATCCACGCACAGCCTCCACTGGCTGCCCGCCTTAAAAGCGGGCATATTTCACTCGCAAGTGTACTAACCACACACCATCCTAGACCACAGCTGCCAAGGTTAAAGGGAAGTGAAAAGAGAGAGCGCCCACAGACAAAGCAAGAGGTTCACGGTGGCACCGGACAGGGACCCCAGAAGCGTGCCGGGGCTTCCCTCTTCCCTGCCGGGGAACGAGGGCTCGGGGGAACGGGGGAACTGCCGTGGCGAGCTCGGACGCGATGCCCGGCTCCCACAGCTGCCGCGGCCAGATGCCAAAACCACACTTATACTTTCGTCCACTCCAAGGAACATCAAAAGGATTAAGGCAAACGTTTGTCAGGAAAACACATGAAGCGGTGGTCTGCACTTGGGTTCCACGGAGGGCACCTTCTAAGGTTCCCTCCTCAGCAGCTGGCCCTGCACCCGGAAAACGCCCTCTGGCCTGCGCAGGCTTTGGCATTTGCCCTCCCTGCGCTCCAGCGACCGACTGCCTCCTGGCAGAGGGAAAACGTTAGGGAGAGGAAACAGTAACCTGAGGGCTGTGAGGTGGCTCGGAGGGGCGGGGCAGGAACCAGCCTGCAGGGGGCACAGGCATGTCCACGTGGCTGTGGTCAGCCCTGCGGGAGAGAGGGGTGCCAGGCGCAGAGTCGCCAGGAATTACGCCCCCGTCGCTTTCCTTCCAACCCCGTGAGGCAGAAGCGGCAGGTGTGAAGAAACGCCAGAGCACAAGCAGGTCCATGGTGCAGTCATGGCCCTTGGCTGAGCCAGCAGGAAGCAAAACCTGGCCCACGTGCCAGCCTTTCTTTCTCCTGCCTCCTCCAGGTGCAGGCGGGTGCGTGGGACAGGCACGGGGCTGGGAGTGGATAGCCCCAGACAAACGTCCACAGGCACCTGGCACTCAGGCTCTTCAGGACAAGACGAGCTGCCGATTCTGCACCCTTCCCCTTGCCCTGCATACAGCTGGCACTCAATCAGTGCTCCCTGGAGGCGGGGGCAGCTGGGTTCCAGCCCGCTGGGTGTTTGTCTGGGACCTCAGACTAATGAGTGATCTGATCTCTGCGTCTCTGGGTTTACTCATCACCCCGGCCCTGTGGCCCAGCACAGCACCGGGCCCAGAGCAGACTCTCTCGCTCCACTTCTCCCCCACCCCGGGCCATCAGCAGAGCCCCCCACCCCTGGCAGCGGGGACCACGTTCTCACACACCAAAGCGCTTCCTCGTCCACCAGTGCGGCTCCTTGATGGCGGAGAACTTCACCTCCGGGTGCAGCCGGAGGCGGTCGTACAGGTCGGTGGTGCCGCACTTGGGCTGCCCGATGATGTAGAAGCGTGGCAGGCAGCGCAAGCGGTAGTGCCGGCCGGCGGCGTGGGACAGGTGGTGCCAGAAGGCCTTGCGCAGCGCATCGAAGGTGGAGCGGAAGCGCTTGGAGTAGAGCGCGTAGGAGTTGGTCAGGTAGGGGTCAGTGGTGTTCCGGCCAGTGAACTCCTCGTACCAGCACGGGCTCTTGCTGTTCGGAAGGAATTTGCTAGGGATGACTGAGAACATCTGCAAGGGGAGAGAGAAAAAGGGGAGACGCCCAGAGGAAAAGAAGTGAGCCTAACCGCTTTCTGACCACAACACAGTCCTGCCCTGACGCTCAGTGTCCACATTCAAGTAGGAGGTATCATCTGACAGAGACTAAATATTAACATCAAGTAAAACTGGGTAAATGGCCAATAACAAGCAAGCTTGCATGGCAGTCTAATTAAACAGTAGGAATCTTTTTACTAGTTGTGTATTTCATGGCCATCAGAGACACAAATACTAATTAGGGCAGAGTAGACACAGGACGGTGGTGATCTACAAAAGTGGCTTTCATCCCATGGCCACGTCTCAAACAGGAAGTCCTGGAACGGAATTAGGAGAAGGGGTCATCCTTCGCCAGTTCTAGCTGCACTGTTTAGTGCTACACATTCCCTTCTTGGCGTAAACATTATAAACAGTGCTCTCCCGGTGCACCCTGGTCCGCAAGGACATCCAATTATCCTTGTTATACTAGAGAAGTTTTTCCTAAAGATGGCAACAGAAAAGGATCCATTTTTAAAAAAGTCAACAGTCAACAGAGATCGGCATAAGGCTACTCACATGCGATTCCTGCCTTTTGAGATCTTCTCTGTCTGGGAGCTGCCTGGTCGTGAACTCGATCCGGGCTGTGATGCTGCTGATGATTAACTTAACACTCGGGTAGTCCTTCATGTAGGAAATGTTATTTACAGAGGGCTGGTGATGAGGCTCCCTTGCGTCACCCGAGTTTTCACCGTCCGTCCAGCCGGGATTGCTGGGGAAGGGCCCGTAATGGAACGGCGAGGAGATCAGGAGCTCCTGGTGGGCCCCAGAGAGGATGTAGGAGGCCATTACCAAGGTCATTATTATCAATCCAAAAACCAGGCTGCATCGCTTCCCCTTTCTGAAGCGCAAAAGGCCGCCCCAGCTCTCGCTCCCTTCAGCCCTCACTTCGAGAACAGCGAGCAAGTTCATCTGCCTCCCGTCCACGCGGAACACTATCTTGTCTTCTCCTTCGCACGCAGGGCCCTCCTGGGGGCTGGGATGGGGGCCTCCTCGGCAGCCGGCCCGCTGTTTGTGCGCGCCGTCAGGCAACAACTGTATGCAGCAATTAATGCAGTGCCTCATGGTAATGTCCTTGGACAGCTGGCCCGGCGAGCCATGGGCAAGGCGTCCGGGGCACACAGGCCGCGCTGGAAAACTAGAAGGACGTCTTGCGATTAAAGACGATGGCGGGGAGGCACCGGCGACAGATAGGAAAACGAGCAGGCGCCAGCGCAGGGGAGAACGAGGAAGGGCGTTCTTTGGTGTGACTCTGAAAGACAGCAGAAGGAAGTGATGATCTCCAATTGTCATGCTCTGTCAGCACAACTGCCACCGTGGGAAAAGCCACAGGCTTGGGAGCAATGCTGCCTGTCCTTCAGGTTTTTCCCCTGGTACAGAATAAAGGGGAGGAAGTCTCGCTGGGGAACAAGGAAACCCCTGAGAAATGGGCAGATGTCATGGTCTTCTCGGCAGGGGACGGGCTGGCATGCCATCCATGGAGACGCCCAGGAAGATTCCTCTTTCACATCCTGTGTTCCTTTGAAAGGCTTCCTCCTCGGGGGCAGAAAAATCTTTAAAATGTCAGATTACCTAAACAACAAAGAAAAGAGGTTTTATTACATCGTCCGATAATAGCAACAACCCAGAGGTTGTTGGAGGACTTCTCCATTTCAGCCGCGCCTGCTGGGGCACAAACAAGTCAGAGAGAATCATACAGAGGAAAGGGGGTGCCTGGGTGCCTGGCTTTGGGGTTCAATCTCTGCCAGAAAATGTGGCCCCCACACCAGCAGCACCAGGACCACGTCAGACACCTCACACTTTGCCCAGTTCACAAACCCTCTAATGCCTCCGCCTGGCACAGCTAAATTCCTGGATCCCCAGTCACGGGGCTTTGCAATCATTCTTAGGCTCCTGCAACAGCCAGGGACTGTGGACTTGAGAGATGAATTTGAAATATCAGCGCTTTTAAGTCGACTAAAAATCTGCAAAGGAGGATGGTTAGGCTGGGAGCAGGCAGAGAAAAAATGTTTTCTCTCCCCACAGCACTAATACTCTCTTCCCTAGAGCGAACCTTTATTATCAGCTTAGGAAGCAAAAGTTAATGAAAACTTAGAAGGACTGAAATGATTCTCCTCTCCACTAGAGTGAGTATCATATGAAAAACCACTTGACTTTAAGTTATTAAGCAATTAAATCCAATGTGCAGTATTCCCCGGTGTGACATAACTCTTCAGACCCTGAAATAATTTTTTACTTTCATCATCCTGGGAAAAACATGATTCTTATAAATTCATTAATAGAATCTTGTGGTTATAAAATGTATTATTGCTCCGATGATACTTCTTTGTAGATATTGTAAGAGAGAGAGAGAGAGAGAATGCACGCAAAACTGGAAACCCACTTAGTTTCCGGCAGGGGTGGACCACCACTGACTAGCTGCGTGACCTTGAGCAAGCCACATGACCTCTCTGAGCTCTGGTTTCCTCACCGGTAAAACAAGGATAAGAGAGCCTCCCTTACAACTTTGTAAAAGTACTAAAGTAGTGCATGTAAAGAGTTTGCATAATGTCTACACATAGTTAGCATCCTCTAAAGGGTAGATAACATTAACAATACGAGCATCATCAACAACTATTCCTATTATGACTTTCCATGGTCAGCGAATACCAAGAACACTTGAAACGGAGTCAGAAACGGGAGACCCTATCGCATTACTTTTCCTTGGCGTCCTCCTTACCCAAGAGCGAAGGACGCGCCCCCAACGCCTTACACACAGCCTCAAACAGTCCTTGCGGTCCCCAGAGATGGTAGAATTAACTAACCCTGCATTAAAGCCTCCTCGTTCTGGCTGAAGGGCCGAACAATCAGAACTCACCAAAACAAAATGCCCTCTCCTTGGACCAAAAGGCCTCCGTTTCGTCAAAACATGTTGACCAACAAATAGCCAGGCAGTGTTTCCTCCAATGTCTTCCACACAATGTTCTACATGTTGTGATAAGTGTCCTGTGCTTAAATTACTGGGAGAAAGGGAGAAATGGACAAAATTACAGACTTCTTCACAAGAGGACTTTTCAGGGCCTTTAAAATGCTCCTACGCCCTGTGAATGCACAGGGGAGGACTGTAATACACAGAATTTCCAAGACAGAGCCAGCCGCGGGATTCCTCGCTGCGGTCTCACAGAAGCAGCGTGAGAAATGCTGGTCAGCGAAGGCTGAGACAGGGTCGGGGCAGCTCTGAGGAGCACAGAGGCACGGGGGCTGCGGAGCAGGCCGCCCCGGAGCCGGGCGGCGGCTCGGGCCCCGCTGCCCCCTCACCCCTGAGAGATCCAAGCTCTGTTTCCAACTTGTCAAGCACCCTTGACCTCTCCTCTCTGGGTACAAACAATTCTTCCAAACCAAAGAGACAAAAGGTCAAGCTCCCCGACTTGGCAACCCCATCACTAAGCCAAGAAAACATCGTTTCACACGCAGAAGACAAGGCTCCGGCCCGGATCCTGGTGGGAAGCGAGTTCCCACTCTCTGCCTCTCTGGCTGTAGAAGGCCTAATTAATTTTTTTTTTTTTAAAGAAAACATGGTCTTTGAAGCTCCAAGACAAGAATGTACAATATCTGAACCCAACAGAATGGGCAAAACATTCCTAAACAAGAACAAAGGTTTCTCATTACAAGCAAAGTAAATAAATAAACCGCTGGGTAGATGGAGAAGCTGACAGTGTCCACAGCGCGTCTCTGGGACGCGGTCAGAGCGTTTGTCCCCTGGGCAGGCTGCTCCCCCCGCTCCATGGCCCACTGCTTAAACACAAAAAGGGGAGCAGAGAACTGAGGAGACAACCCCAGGTGACTTAGGGGCCTTAAAAAAACACCATTCAGTGTCCTGTGATTTGCAATTTATTTGTTCGTTCTTCACCAGATCCCTTCGGAAGACCTGCTGTGTACTGGGCGCTGCTGAAGATGCCAACCCAGGCCTGGGGACCTCAAGCCAGTACACGCTGGAGGCGGGTGATATAATAAAAATTAACATTTGGTCTTTGTTTCTTGCACACAACTTTTAAAAACCCTTGCAATGCCCTGAGAGATTGTTATCTATAATAAGTGCCTTTCCATACACCTCAGTTTATGCTAATGAGGTGGCCCTGCGTGGGCCCCCAGAGAGCTCCAGGATGGGGCTGGTGGCTGGAAGACCAGGCCTTGATCAGACACTTAGAACTTTCAGCCCCGCCTCTCTAAGCTCCAAAGGGAGAAGAGAAACTGCCGGCTGAGTTAATCATCAATAGCCAATGATTTAATCCATCGTGCCTACATAATGCAACCTCCATAAAAAAGCACTCAGAGAGCTGGCGAGTCGGCGAACATGGAGGTGCAGGGAGGGCGCCCCCAGGGAGGGCGCGGGAGCGGCGGCCCTCCCTGCCCACCTGACCCTGTGCCCCTCTTCCATCGGGCGGCTCCCGACACGTGTCCTTTATAACGGACTGGTCGCAGGAAGTAAGGTGCTCTCCTGAGTCCTGTGCATAGTCCTAGCAAATTATCAATCCTGAGGATCACATCGGGGGGACCTCTGAATGTGCTGCCCAGTTAGACAGAAGTGTGGGGACAGCCAGGAAGACCTAGGTTAGGAAGGGACATCTGAATGACGACAAAGAAGCCAACTACAGAAGTCAAGAGCCCGTGAAGGACAGAATCTGGAGATGGAAGCCCTTGAGGACCACAGCGAGGGCAGAACCCGGGGCTGTGGGGCAGGTGGGGCAGGAGGCCCAGGTGGGAGGGGAGGCAGGGACCAGACTCCGCAGGGTCTGGGTGGCCAGAGTCAGGGCTGGGATTTGTCCAAGGGCAAAAAGGGATGTGCGCTGTGTATTCCTCCAAAGGGCTTTTACAATGTGTGCAACTATGAACCAATATGCCCAGTGAAGAAAAATCAGACTAACGGGACAGCGCTGAAGGGAGGGTGGGTTGCTACACTGACCCAGAGCTTCCCCTCAGCCACAGCCCAGCCCAGGGCAGTCCCTCAGGACCCAACCCTTGGGTTGTTCTGTCTTGGAACACGAGCCACACTCGCCCCTTGCACTTCACCTGTCTGGAATGTCCACGTGCTGGTGCCAGCAGCCTCGGATTAGACAGGACTCCTGGCGCTCCCACTCAGGGGTTAAACCCAAGAACTCAGGTATACGTTTCAGGGAGCTCGCCTCCCGGGCTGGGCTCACGGCTGTGCCCTGCAGATGCAGACTCTAAGTGTGGGAACCCGGCACCGCTGGGAGAGATCGGATAACTGGTCCCAAAATAGAAAGCGTTCAATTCCCTGGCCCTGGCTAAGATGCCCCCCATTAACCTATGTACCCCAAGCATCATTAGCAAGCCATTTATAACAAAATCGTAATTGAGAGACCCAGAAATACCGCTGTAGATTAAGTAATTGAATGCCCTCTTGGTGTAAGATCGATAAAGGGCATCCAATTTCACCCTAGGAAAAACTTATTAAATTATTGTAGCTATAAGCTGATACAGCAGGAGAAAGATGTATGAAACTTCAAAAGAAACCTGGATGGATTTAAATAAATAGCTTCATTTAGGTAGAACATTTACATCTGCCCTCTGGGAGTAGCGAGGAAAATAGCGCTAATAACATTATTTTACTTTAATGTTTTAAAGGAAAAAAAATTGATGGTTCTTAATTAACCTTTACTAAAACACAAAGCCTTCTTCTGATTAGTCTGTCTAACTGCCGACATTTCTCTTTGGGCTATGTATATGGAAATACATTCTTTCCAAGGACTATTAATCAACAAGTGGGGGAAGGAACATTTTCCACATTTAGCTCAAAGATACTGTGAGATCGTCCCAGAGACTGAGAAAACTAACAGGACTGAGGCGTTCTGTACAAAAAAAATTGATCATCCGTTTCCATCTTATACCTGGAGTTCACTGCTTCTGATCACAAGGTAGCCAATGAACAGAATGAAGCTCCAGCCCCTCATGAGCACTCACTGGCCTACGGCGTGGTGGGAAGAAGACAGTTAGCCGTCACACGGACGAGGACGCGAAGGCCGTGTCCGCTTCGAGACCTTAGACAGCTCACATACGTGATCTGGGCCTCTCTATTCTCCAAAGCAGTCCTCCGCGGTAACCGATCCCATGCAGCCCCGGGGCTTGGGTGCTGGAGCCAGAGACCTGGCTTTGACCTTGAGCAGGTTGTCCAACCTCTCCCCTCCCGTTTCCTTGGATGTCAACTGGGCATAATCATAGGACCTATGTCACAGCACTGCCGTGAGCATCAATTGAACCAAGTCATGTGAAGTGCTTGGAAGAGGGTAAGTGCTAACTACGAGTTAGTTGTTATTATATATACGTGGTCGTAGACCTCAGTTAAGTATTTGGTAAGTAGAGGTTTGATACTATCTCCTGTCGATCCTGTCCTTGGTTTCAATGTGTGATCCCTCCCTGTGTCCCAACCCTAACTGCAGGGGTGACTTGGCAGCTCCTCCAGCTAAAGGGGTGGAACCCACTCCTCCGCCCGTTGGTTGGAGCTTGGAGACTCGCTTTGGCCCACAGAATGCGGCAGGAGCGACAACAGGCCGGCACCAAGCAGGGCCTGAAGGCGTGTGTGGCCCGCCCTCTGCACCTTTGCCATCAAG